TTAATGAACTTTTTAACCTTTTTTTTTTTTTTGGCAGGGGGGACAGGTCTAGTCGTGATACCTTGACTTACAGACTTTCAGAAAATAATTTCTGGTTGAAGGCATGACTTGATCTGAGGACCAGAATAAAAAATCTAGCTTTTAATGGGCAATTTCTGCATATATATTTTGGCCATATTGAACTAGATACACTTTGACTGGTTTTTTTTGTAACTACTGGTCATGAATGTTTAGATTTGCAAGTCACAAGGTATCTCTATTGAACTTTTACTGGATGACTGGACAACTTTAAAAAGCAAGAAAATGAGTAAAGTAATTCCCAATACGACTGATTCGCCAGTTGTGTTCACATTTGTACTCACCACAAAAAACACCTCTGTCAGAAAAATTCCACCATAGGAATGTATGCTGAAAATCAGCAAATATCACAAAAATAAACTCAGAAGTATTTAGATAAAGCATTTATCCAACTCTTCTAACTAGCATCTACTGCATTCTCTTCCCCTAATGCCAACCACACGAGTAAACAACATGCTATCACCCATAAGGCATGTATATTAACTTGCTGTTTCTCTATTACCCTGCTGAACTAATATTGCTTCGAGTACTCCTCTCCTAGTAATTAGGGTATTTTCATAGAGCATAGTTCCAGAATTACCAAGCACCTTGATAACTTTAATGCATTTTTCTGTCACAGTATATTTAACAGCAAAATCTCAAGAACCTGCCAGAGAAATAATAAACAAAACATGAAAAATGTGGATACAGTGCAGAGCTGCAGTGCCTTGGGGTGTATGCAGTGTGGATTCTTTTCTATTTCCATCAGATACATATGATTGATTCTCTGAGTGGATTACGCTTTCCTCGGTATACCACTTTCACATACCTAGATTATGCAAACAGATATGTGATAAAATACCCAAATTACAGCAATTATTAGACATCTCAGTTTTACAGTAGTCCATCACTAAAGTCTGCCTATCACAAATGTGGCCTTGCAACATTCTAATGAGGTAGACAATTACAAATCCCTTTTTCCTCCATTATTTTAAGATGAGAAAAATCCAGTCACCTCTTATTTTAAGGGTATCAGTTTATCTGCTCATCCACTACCCGATATCTTCCTCCACAGAGTAATGTTACAATCTCTTTTATCACAAGTGCAGATGTCAGGGCATCATTTAGAGTTCAAGAATGAAAAGGGGAAACAGAGGAGCTCTGAATAAACACAGATTATATTTTCATGTTAATGTCTCCTCTTAATGAAATAGAGGATGCAAGAATACAAAATACATATGAGCTACAAGGAGCCGAGTTGTCTCTACACAGAATGTTTTCTCAGAGTTATGCGGTAGGCATCAGCAGATTGCTTTAAAGTTGTTCTTCAGGGGTTTAAACTTCTCTGGGGTGGTAATAGGAGTGAGTGTTTCACAGAGCAGCCAAAAATAAACAACAAAAAAATTCTCTTGGAAACAGATATAAGAAATGCAGCTGTAAAAGACACTACAGCTTCTCTGACAGCATTTGCATGCAGAACCTTCGCACGACTAAAACTAGCAAGCTCAGTAGTGTTTATTTACAAGACTTAGAGTCACCCACAAACTATTTACAAGACCACCATGACAGAGTAAAATGGCAATTAAAATATCAGTGACCAATCAGGAATATGCAACTTTGCTTTCATCAATCATTCAAATCCATTTAGAAGTCTTTAGTCTTCTGTATGTTTCTTCCCTGTCAAAATAAGCCGCGTTAAGTAAATGCAGCCTCAAGAACCCTGATACCAAAAGCTTTGCTTTGTGTCCTCCTGATACTAGAAAAGTCCCAGTTTAGGTAGTCCTGGAAGCAGTCTGTATTAAAGCAAGGCCTCAGCCTTCCTTAGATACCGGAATATAGCCCTCATTCTCTGCATAATACAGCTGTGTCCTGGTTGATCCCTCCAAAACCATTTGGTTTAGAGAAAGCACCAGGAACAGGAGAGAGTATCCCTACTGTCTGCTTTCCTTGAAAAATTGTGCCTTCAGGGCATTTTCCTTCACTATTCGTTTCTGCTCTTAAGAATAATTGGAAGTCAGTCTTCTGACTTTTCAGGTTGATTAGACTCTGCATATTTCTAAGCCAAAATGTGTAATAGTTAATTAAAAACAAAACAAAACACAACACAACAAACAAACCACAGGGCACTGAGCAAGGCTCTACCCAACTTGTACGTTAGCACCAGCAACAGAGATGTTGCTGTAGAAGTCTGGATTTCAACTATAAATCTGCACCCTCTTATGTCCCAGTTCCCTTTTGCTTTTCTTGCATGGGGAGTCAGCAGTGGCCACGCTCTGAGTGCAAAGGGCTGCCCTTCCGATTCAGCACTTCGGTGCCTATTTGTCCTCAGGTACTTGGCTGCAGAGAAACGGAAATGCATAGAAAAGCCCAGTGTTGCTCCCTGTGGTGTACATGTTCTCAATTACACATGCACAGCTCTGTTTTCTACTATGGATGGTTTTGAGGACAGACAGTGTCCGTATAATGGCAGCTAACAGTATTTTTTTTGTGTGATCATGATCATAATAAATAAGCCAGAATGAGATACAACACTGTCTCCACAAGTTGTATTATTTTTACTTTTGATAGTAGAAGTACAGTCTGTCTTACTTGATGAGATGTGTTATGCAAGGGACATTTTGTCCAAGGTGAAAATACAGACTTGCAGTTTCATGTTTTGTTTATGGCTGTAGGGAATTACATGGGTGCTTGGAACATCTTTTCATCTTTTCAACTTACCCTTTGCCTTTGAAGCTCCAAACCTGAGTTCTCTTATTTGTTAGGTTCTAAGAGGTCTTCAAAGTTTGAGCTCCATGGAAAGGCAAAATGATATTTTTAATCATTATTATTATTGCAGGCATCCGTCAGCTCAATTCACAATAAACCACTACTGCAAGTAATGATGGGAAACTTCAAAGGGTTTGGAGTGCAGCACAGGACGCAAGGATCCAGGAGCAGGGACATTCTTTCCAGCTCTCTGACCCTCTTCAGTGAGTACAGTTTTGCTGGATGTCTCAAAGACTGGGTCCCCAAGTTTCTAGGGCTTTCTGCTTTTATTAGCCCAGAAAAAAACAAGATATGTGTGGGGCTGTGTGTTTGCATCTGGCACTTTGAAACCCTGTTAGGAGTCCTGTAGGAAAAAAATAGGAACGGTATATATATGTGCCTGTCTATACAGACACTTACACAGAAACAAGTTTAAGTTAAAAATTGGATTTAGTTTGCAAAAGCTTCAGCTAACACACGTTCTGAGAAAGAATTAAAAAGCAGGAGCAGCAAATAAAATCTCTGATATATCCTTTGCAGACCAAATATAAATTCAACTTTGGAAGTAAATTTGACCTAGAGCTCTTACTTCTTTCACAAATTAAAAGAAAATATTTGACTGACCCACTGCTGAATCTTGATATGTTCAAAACCTGTGATTCTGGCACAAACTTTTAGTTTAGAAGCTACCACTGGGGTCTCATTTTCATCAACTGGTTCAGCTCCTCCTGATTTCAAGATGACTATTTTATCAAAAGCTTCTCTTTTAAAGGCCAGATTCACAGGACATAAGCTGACTTCTCTCAGGTGGACTACTGCCTTCATAAAGAGCTGATGAGAAGTCTCACAGATTTACACCAATGTAACCAAAAAGAGGAGTAAGCCAAACTATAAAAAAATAAACTTATCTTTGATTTAGACTATGACAGAAAATTTAGAATATTTACAGGAAAACAGTCTATTGTCCATTTCATTTGTCAGCTTTGTTTTCTGTGTAAGTAGAAGCTACATGAATGTCTACTTCATGACAGCATGGAAGTGTTTCAGATAAGTATTTTACTGCAAGTGTGGTTACAGAACTTCACACTGGTATGCAAATCACTGCTCTGGAAAGCAAATGCAAAAAGATTTGCCTGCATAAGAAGAGAATCAGTACACCAGAATCACTGGGTAAATCTGTGACAAATAAAACTGAAGATGAGACAAAATACAAAGAAATTTTCTAGTAGTGAAGAACTACAGAATAAAGTTCGGACCTACATCTAGGGGTTATTTTTCAGTGGCTGTGGCCACAACAAGCTTTTGAAACTGAAGTCAAATCACCCATTACAGACAACCCATATATTAAAATTTGTGAGATGCTCAGATTCTGTCATAACCACGTAGGCTATGGCCCTAAGTAAATTTAGATACAAAGTACAGCATAAGTTAATGCAACAAGGAATTAAGCTTGCATCAGTGCCAATAACCTGTGATACTCCTTTAAGGTAACTTTGTCATCAAACTTGCAAACATTTTTCCATTGCTGTAACCAACTGACATGCAAAGATTCAGCAAGAGGAACTTACACACGGCTGATCCATACAGCTTGAAATCTGACTGGAAATCTTGCACAGCTGCTTACAAGCAATGTTGCATGGTGATTTAAGCTCATAACAAATAACTGTGTATGCCTAGTTCAATGGTCATTAACTTGCTCACTTTCAAGGACTGAAGTAGGTCTATCAGCACTTAAAAAGCATAACACTGGCCACTAGACGATGTCCACTGTTACCCATGGCAGAAATGCTAGTATCCTCAAAGACTCCAAGACTTTAGTCTTTGGCCCTCACTAGTAGAAGGACCAGATTGATCTCTTCTTTGTATTTGGTGCAAAAGAAAACAAGCTTAAGCTGAACAGAGTTGCGTTCAAACTCAAAATGTTCACAGGAAATTGCAGAACTCTACTCTCCCAAATCAATGCTTTCTTCAGTATATTTCAGTTGTGCATCATCCTTAGATCAAAGACCCCATTTTCAAGTGCTGTAAAAACACATAACAGGAAGAATAATGCCCCTTTCATACCAGTCCAAAATTAATCTCAACAAATCAGCAATGCAGACTGCATTCAGCCACACTGCCTTCAAGCCTCATTTCAACATCTGTGTATGCATGGGGAGCTGTGTCTAGGAAATAAGGAAGAGGTTTTTTTCTCTTACCAGTAGAACCTGTTTGGTGCAACCCCCTCATGAAGCAGCAGCCATCTTCTGCCAAACTCCACTGAACTGAATAACTGCGAACAAAAAACAAAGAGTCATGACTCACAGTAACACACAAAGATAATTGAGAAATTAATCTGAAAAAACCTGTATCAATTCTGAGAGTGACTTAAACTTTTACTTCCTCCAGTCTCAAAGGGACACATCTGGGGCAGATGAAAAATGTCTGCAGTGTCTTTTATTGGCAGAGGCAATACTGAGCTGTGTGACATGGGACACAGCTGAGAGATCACTGTATGGGTACACCCAACGGCCTGCCATAACTGAAAAGTCATCATCTAGTTCTCTGTGGCACTCTCAGGTAATAAAATCATGGAGTATGGGAAAGCTGCCTTTTACTTTTATAAACTTGTCGTGGACAACAAATATATAGTATAACACAGCAGTTTGATAACCTAGCCTAGCTCAGACAACAGATACACAGGCTTGCCTGCCTTGATATTATGTTGGAAGGTCATTTTCTTTCCAGTTACCAGTAACCATCCCTAGAGGCTGTTCAACATGACACCAAAAAAGTGCTCTAACATGTCCAGCTTTCTCTTGCAGGACTGAATGACTTTAAACACCACAAGTTACTTGTGCCATGGAAACCTGTGATTCTCACTTTGCTTATGTCCTTCTCCTGCAAACAACATGACACCTAGACTGGTTACACAAACAATATCCAAATAATATCAGTCATTTCAGAAAGGCCTTCCATGATAAATACCAAACCGGACTGAGAAAGGTTAGCAAAAATAGCATGTTACAGGTATTATAAATACTTTTACATGTCTTTGTAGAATGGTACACAAATGTTACTGTTATAGAGCACTTACAAGCAGCTGCTCTCCATACATGCTGCCATCAGGTAATTCTCGGAAGGACAGTAGAGGGGAGGGTTACTTGGGTTCTGTCTTTCTTTTGCTTTATTTAAGTCCAAATTTCTCATGGGGAAGTATTGAGAGGCAGAGAGCCTTATACGTTTTTTTGCAGATTCATCTCATTCCTCCTCCTTCCCTTGCTTGATAGACTTGGTCAGCCCCCTTTTCTGGCAAGGAAGATGTTAGAGCCCTTTTTTGAACTGTGATCTGCCTTTTCAGGACATCACTTTAGAGATCTTGCAGAAAATGCAAACAATCTTAATCTTTATGTGCAAACACTGACCAATTTTTTTTTTTTTTTTTTTTTAAATGAGTAGTGGCAGTGGATTGGCAGGGAAAAGAAAGCTGGATGCCTGAGAGAATGACTGAGAAGGAGAGAAGCTGATTTAAACCTTAGGGTTTATCAGAAAGAGGACTTGAATGTATTTTAGGAATTATGAGACTGGGATGTAAGAAACCTTGAGATCTACTTCCTAGTCTGCATTACATTCCCAACACAAACACCTAAATCCTTCAGTTTCTCTACTGTAAAACCTTTGAAGGACATAGAGAAACTAATTATAACAGCTTTTTGGTAAACAGTAGACTGTGCATACGTTGAAATTTACTTTAACCAATAGGAAACCTGAAAATTCACCTCTTTTTTGCATCTTCCTTTCTCTTGAACAGTGACAAAGAAGAGAAAGAGAAGGCGGTGGAGGGGATAGAAGATAATGAGGGTAAGAAAAGGAAAAACAGTTTAGCTTTGTGGATAGAAATGCATCTACTTTTAAAACTTCAGTGGTGAGACTGTTATTTTTCCTTAAATAGAAGATTCTAGACACATTTTTATTTGAAACTTTAAGAGACTCTAACTATAAGGAAAACTTTCATTTTTGTAAATTAAAGAAAATCTTTTGAGACATTTAACAATGACTTTGTAAAGTGCTTTGAGGTCACCCTAATCAAGAACTTTACCATTCCAGGAGGTATTTTTCCCCCTTCATATTCAAAATCCATTTCTAGACCTGCTTCTGTATTTGCAGCAAAAATAAAAACATATTAACAATAAGCTCTTGTCAATCTATCTCCCCAATGTCCATATTTTCCCTTTCATGGCAAACTAGTTTTTTCTATTCCAAGTAATATGTCTTTGACATATCAGTAATTTAAGTTTTAATAAAGTTCAGGGGACAAACTTTTTAGCAGCTCCTGTAGCAATAGGACAAGGGGTAATGGTTTTAAACTAAAAGAGGGTAGAGTTACACTAGATATAAGGAAGAAATTTTTCACAATGAGGGTGGTAAAACATTGGCACAGGTTGCCCAGAGAGGTGATGAATGCCCCATCTCTGGAAACTTTCCAGGTCAGGCTGGACAAGGCTCTGAGCAACCTGATCTAGCTGAAGACATCCCTGCTTATTGCAGGGGAGTTGGACTGGATGACCCTTAAAGGTCCCTTCCAAAACAAACTATTCTATGATTCTATGATCCTTTAATTAAGAACAGGGAGCAATTCAAACAACTCGGCAAACACCTCTGTTTCCAGACCAGGGATATATAGGACGTAAGCTTTCCAGGGACATTGATGTTCAGATGGCTGAAATGATCACAGTAAATGTTGTTTTCCTCCTTTTGTATCTCGCACCCAGTCCCTCTCTAGTTTCCCTGAGCACAACTTTTGTCAGGTTATCCCCTCTCTGAATTGTGACATGGTGATAGTAACATATCCTAATGAATTAAATACAGCCTGCAAAACCTTTCTCTGTGCTTGTGCAGCAGCCTCCTCCATGCCTGCAGTCCCACTGCAGTGCCAGCTGGTTGAATGGCCCCAGGGCCCCAACTTGCCCCTGGCTCTTTCAGCACAACTCTTCAGAGGGTCTCTTTACCTGGTGCACCCGACAACTGCCCCAGCAGAGCAGAAGCTGTGATGCTGCACAGCACCCAGGGAGCCCTGCTTTCTCTTAGTGTGTGCCCTGAATGAGACATGTAGTTCAGGCAAAGAGTGGAGAAATGCAAGACTTTATAAGTTTGTTTCAAAGGTAGGAAATGAATATAGTAATTCTACTGTCAGGATCAGCCTCTCAAATTGGAAGGCAGTGCCCAGTGAGCTGGAGACAGCGTGTAGAAAAGGCAACAGCTCTCAAAGGGAAATATCCGCTCTCTGGGAACCCATGCCCAAAACCCTCATTGTCATTGAGGAGACACTTGAATAACCAGCCTTTAGAAGGTTTTTCCTCCTTTGCCATTATCTCAGCCTTTACGGACTCACAGCAGCACAGGCAGCATTAATGTATCTTTAGCAAAGGGGGAATTCCCCACCTTATGTGTCACCACCCACAAAAAACACCCCAAAATCCCTTGCAGTGAGGATTTTTTTTTAGATATTTTATTCTAAGTGTCACCCATTTTAGACTGAATTTATTTAGCTGGACTAGAGAAAAAGAAATATTTGGAGGCTAAGTTTTTGTCAAGTATCAGTTATGATACAGCTGGGGTTATTTTTCCCCATTTAGCAATCATAGTGCTTGTATGGATATGTTTTAAACCCAGCATCATATTTTGTTGTTTCTATAAAAGTCTTCTCTCTCCAGGGACTTCTTGTGACAGACTTGTGCATGCAGTCCCTTCAGACATGACATTTTCTTTGGCAAGCACTGTATCTGATGACAATTTTCATTATTAGACAGAAATTAGATAATGTTCTTCGTACGCTTCTTTTTCTACCACAAATAGAAAAGAAACCTATTACAATTTCAATGTATGTTTTCATCTGAGGGCCAAGTAGAGATCTGACATTTATGTTTTCACTGAGACAAAACTGTTATGAAGTACAAATCTTGTATTGATCTCTCAGATTTGACCCTTGCTCATCAGGGAATAATTGTCTTTCTGCTTCCTCTTCCCTTGTATATTTATTTTTCTGAGCAATACCCAAGCACTTAACAATTGTTAACAGTCTGGTTTTGCTTTGTTTTGCTTTTTAAAATCCTAATATTCTGTGAAGCAGAAACCTACCAACCACATCTTTTAGATAGGAAAACAGAAATTAAAGGAAAAAGGAAAGGCTATCCCAAGGTTACAAATACCTTCTGAGGCTGAGCAGGGATCAGTAAACCCTCTGAACTGCAAGACAATCAATCCTCCAACTAGAGCAAAAGCCTTCTTGCAACATGACACTACTAACTTCTGGAGTAAGGAAAGCTGACATCTGAAGACTGAACTTCTTTACTTATATACACCAAGCAATATCTGTATACTACTCACCCTCTCTATTATTTGTTTCCCAACCTGTGTGAGAAGCATAAGAGCTGTTCATGTATTTCATAGTGATAGCATAAGCTTTGTCTTAAAATGCTTTGGGATATCTGGGTAACAGCAGGATACAGTTGCCATGTAATCATCTCTTTCCCCTCTAATTTCCTGATCTTTCCAGCACTAATTTTAGACTTGAGTAATTTTTTTTTTTGCATTTGGGACTATATTCATTGATAACACTTCCAATTTGAGACAGTCAAAACATTCTTTAATATATAGATATTGCTAAAACCAAAAAATATTACTTGTAAACTAAGGATAACTTTCTTATAATCCAATGAAAATACAGAAAAAAAAATAATTTAGAAATGAAGCTGACTGTCTAAATTCTTAGTGAAAGTAAAATATTTAACAGAAATTAGTCAAACCTGATTGGCTTATTTACTTTAGCTTGACAGTTTGCACTTTAAAAAAAAATAATTAAATTCCAGAAAATATATAGAGAAAAAATATGTTTTTTGAAAATATTCCATGAAGAATAACTGGAATTTTATTTGAGTCAACTGATCTAGGCTACATCACTTCTAGAAGGGAAAGTATGTATTAGGAAACAGGAAAAAGAACTCCACATTTTTCTTTACTTCAGCTCTGGAAAATCTCTCCAAAGCAGTAAGCTCTCAAGAACTTAGCTTCATAAAACCTTCTATTTTTTGGATGGTTTGGATATATTCTGCCATGCCTCTTTCTTTGCCCTTCTGCCCTGTATTGCATAGAATGAACAATTTATCGTTTCATAATCTACCTGTGTTCTAGTTCACAGCTGTAAAAGAGCTCTGGCTCCTTCCATCACTTGACTAGATGTATTTTATTCTTCCCTGGTGCACCTCCTCCACATCTTCCCTTCACTCAAATGTC